TCTATCAATTGGCCTTCCAGCGACTCAGCAAATTATTCAAGGAGGAAAACAAACAGCATGTGGGACTTCGTCTCTGTCTCTGTCTCCTCTTCTCTGCCTCTGTCTCTGTCTCTTTTTCTCTGTCTCCGGCTCTGTCTCTGTCTCTTTTTCTCTGTCTCTGTCTCTCTCTCTCTGTCTCTTTATCTGTCTCTGTCTCTTTATCTGTCTCTGTCTCTTTTTCTCTGTCTCTGTCTCTTTATCTGTCTCTTTATCTGTCTCTGTCTCTTTTTCTCTGTCTTTGTCTCTGTCTGTCTCTGTCTCCTGTCTCTCTGTCTCTTCCTCTCTGTCTTTGTTTCTGTCTCTCTGTCTCTTTATCTGTCTCTGTTTCTTCTTCTCTGTCTCTTTCGTTGTTTATTTGTCTCTTTCTCTCTCTTTGTCTTTATCCCTCTCTTTATCTGTCTGTCGTCACCTGTCTCTGTCTGTTTATCTGTCTCTTTATCTGTCTCTGTCTCTGTCTCTGTCTCTTTATCTGTCTCTGTCTCTGTCTCTTTATCTGTCTCTTTATCTGTCTCTGTCTCTTTCTCTCTGTCTTTGTTTTTTTGTCTGTCTCCTTTTCTGTTTCTTTTTCTGTCTCTGTCTCTGTCTCCCGTTTTTATTTATCTTTGTTTCTTTGTCTCTTTTAGGGTTTTAGGGTTTAGGGTTTTAGGGTTTAGGGTTTAGGGTTTAGGGTGTCTGTCTGTTTATATTTGTCTTTGTCTGTCTCTTCTTCTTTCTTGGTTTGTCTCCTCTTGCTGCTGCCTTCTTATTCTTTTATTTCTCACGCTGCTGTCTCTTTTGCTGGTGCTGCTGCTGCTTCTGTGCTGCTGCTGCTGCTGCTGCTGCTTTTGATTTGCTGCTGCTGTTGATTTGCTGCTGCAGCGAACCACCGAGGAGACACTGCGTGAGCAGACGCAGCAACTGCAGCAGCAGCTGCAGCAGCTGCAGCAGGTGGCGGTCCCCCGCTGGCAGCGTGTCTTTATGTTGCATGCAGCAGCAGCAACAACAGCAGCAACAGCAACACCACCAGCGTCAGCAGAACCCGGCGATGCAGCAGCAGCAGCAGCAGCAGGAACACCAACAACAGCTGCTGCTGCTGCTTCAGCAGAGACAGATGAGGCCAGCTTAAAGGAGCAGCAGCTGTTGCGGAGCAGCGAGTTGCTGCTGCTGCTGCGGGAACAGCTGCTGCTGCGGCAGCAGCAGCAGCAACGCTGTGAGCTGCTGCAGCTGTGTCTGCCGCAGCAGCTGCTGCAGCAACTGAAGAAGAAAGTGCAGGGGCCTTTGCTGCTAGAGAGGTGAGAGAGAGACACACAAGACAAACGGAGACAGAGAGACAGAAGAAGAGACAGTTAAACAGACAGCAGCAAGCAAGAAGGAGAAAGCGACAGAGACACAAACTCATAGAAAGAAGCAGCAAGAAGCAGCAAAACAATTGGCAGCAGCGTGAGACTGATGCGTGCTGCTGTTGCTGCTGCTGCTGTTGCTGCTGCTGCTGCTGCTGCAGCTGCTGCTACATGTGCTTGACGCTGATGGAGTTTTTATTTGCGGTGTACGGACAGCCAATCTTAGAAGACCTTAAAATTAACCCCAAGGTGATGCAGCAATTGCTGCTGCTGCTTGATCTCGGTGCTGCTGCTGTTGCTGCTACTGGCCGATCTCAGTGCTGCTGCTGTTGCTGCTGCCTCTGCTGCTGCTGCCGGTGGTGCTGCGTTTTTTTGATGCCGCTGTTGCTGTTCACTTGCTGCAGGTGGAGCTGTGCCTCTAAATGCTGCGTCTGCTGCTCTTGCTGCTGCTGCTGCTTGTGCTGCTGCTGCTGCTGCAGACGGTGCTGAGAGACAGGGGGTTTGTGCGCTGGCTGGGGCGTTGTCTCTTTCTGCTGGGAGATTTGCTGCTGCTGCTGTCTCCTTGGCTGCTGGCAGCAAACAAAGAGCAGCAGGCAGCAGCAGCTGCAGCAGCGCCTGCTGCTGACACGTCTACAGCAGCAGCAGCAACAGCAACAGAAGCAGCAGGAGCAGAAGCAGAAGCAACACCTGCAATATTCTTGACTGAGCAGGAGGGTTGCAGAGACAGTTTGCTGCTGCTGCAGCAGCGGCTGCAGCGGCTGATTGCTGCTGCAGCAAAAGGCAGGATATCTGCTTCGTCTCCTTTAGATGAAGTTGAGGCTGCAGCATCTCAGCTGTCTGCTGCTGTGCAGCAGCAGCAGCTGCTGCAGCAGCAGCTGCAGCAGCAGCAGCAGCAGCAGGTGCTGCTGCCGCAGCTGGCAGCAGCAGCACACAAAGCCAGAGGCGCCGCCATGTGGGGTGCATGCACTGCAGCAGCAGCACTAGCGACTGGACACGAGACAGCAGCAGCAGCAACAACAACAAAAGAAGCAGCAGCAGCTGCTGCTGCTCTGCAGCAGTGGCTGCCGCTGTCTGACTCTGTTACCTGTCTCCTTGCTTCGCTCCCAGAGGGACAAGACTTCGGCCTCACAGACAGCAGCAGCAGCAGCAGCAGCAGCAGCAGCAGCAGGGGGTGCTGGTGGTTGCTCAGCAGCGTCAAGGGAGACGACCCCGAAAAGTTTGCTGCTGTCTGCAAGGTGAGGAGTGCTGCTGCTCCATCTGTTGCTGCTGCATCTGCTGCCGCTGTTGCTGCTGCACCTGCTGCTGCACCTGCTGCTGCTGCTGCTGCTGCAACATGATGCTTTGTGTCTGTGTGTCTCCTTTCTGCTCTCTTTGCGTTTGTCTTTGTCTTTTATCTGTTTGCTGTTCCTCGTCTGTCTCTGTCTGTCTCTGTTTGTTTTTGTCTGTCTTTCTTCTTGCTCCGCTGCTTCTTCTCCCGAGGGTTTAGGGTTTAGGGTTTAGGGTTTAGTGGAGGGTTTGCTGTTTGCAGACGACTGACAAGTTGGCGCAGCAAGTGGCCGAAGGAGAAGACAGACGCACGACGGAAGCGCAGCAGCAAGATATACAGGTTTGCTGCTGCTGCTGTTGCTGCTGTTGCTGCTGCTGCTTCCGTTGCTGCTGTTGCTGCTGCTGCTTCTGTTGCTGCTGTTGCTGCTTCCATTGCTACTTTTGCTGCTACTGCTTCTGTTGCTGCTGTTGCTGCTGCCATTGCTGCTTTTGCTGCTACTCCAGCTGTGGTTGCTGCTGCTGCTTCTGTTGCTATTGCTGCTGCTGCTGCTGCTATTAGCACACAGTGTGCGCTTGCGGCTCTATTCTTGTAGACACCAGCGCCTACGGTTTAGGGTTTAGGGTTTAGGGTTTAGGGTTTGTGCGTTGCTGCTGCAGACGCTGTCGAGTTATTTCCTTGCTGCTGCTGCTGCATGCAAGTCGGGCCCCACAGCTGTCGCTAGTGGGGGTTGGGAAGGGCTGCTGCAGCAGCAGCACCAGCAGGTGCAGCAGCAGCAGCAGCTGCAGCAAATGCTGCAGGAGACGCATCAGCAAGTCGATAAACTAAAGCAGCAGCTGAAGCAGGTGAGCAGACACCCGTTGCAGCAGCAGCAGCAGCAAAACTGCTGCAGCCGCATAAGCAGCAGCAAAGCTGCCGCAGCAGCATTAGCAGAAGCCGCAGCAGCAGCAAGACTGCTGCTGCAGCATTAACAGCAGCCGCAGCAGCAGTACACATCATCAGCAGCAGCAACAGCATCAGCATTGGGTACCGGCGCAGCAGCTGTAATGGACAGCATCAGCAGCAGCAGCAACAAAAGCAGCATTAGCACCACCAGCAGCAACAGCAGGAGTAGCAACAGCAGCAGCAGCAGCAGCAGCGCTGTGAAGATGTGTGTGCAGGAAGAGGGGCTGCTGCTGTCAAAGGAGAAGGAATTAGAAGAAGTGCAGCGCCTTGTTTGCATCCTGAGGCCCCAAGCAGAAAAGTAGGGTTTAGGGTTTAGGGTTTAGGGTTTGGGGTTTAAGGTTTAGGGTTTGGTGCTCAGCCTTCGTCTCCCGCTGCTGCTGTTGCTGCTGTTGCGGCAAGCTGCTACAGAAGCGCATACTGCTGTTGCTGCAGTTATTGCTTCGGCTGCTGCTGCTGTTGTTGCTGCTGCAGCTGTTCCTGTAGTCAATGCGTGAGTCTGCTGCAGCTGCGCCCAGCGCTGCTACTTGAAAGCGTGTTGCTGTTGCTGCTGCTACTGCTGCAGCAGCTGCTGCTACAGCTTCTGCATCCGTTCCTGCTGCAAAGGCTACTGTTGCATCTGCATCTGCTGTTGCTGCTGCTGCATCTGCTGTTGCTGCTGCTGCTGCTGCTTGTCTGCAGATCCTCTGGGCTTGAGCAGTATTTAGAAGAAGCGCAGCGGCAGCAGCAGCACTTTGCTGCTCTATCCAATATGCTGCGCCGCAAGCTGCATGCAGCAGAAGCAGAAACACAAAAAATTAAAACAGAACGAACAGCACTCACACAAAAAATCAATGGTTAGCCTTTCATATATGCATGCATGCATGCATGCATGCATGCATGCATGCATATATTTATGTATGCAGCAGTTTATGCATGCAGCAGTATATGCATGGATGCGCGCATGCATGCAGCAGTGTATGCATGCATGCATGCATGCATGCGGGGGTTTTATTGTAGACTTGCATTTAAAGCTTGCATGCATTAATGCATGCATTTATGCATGCATGCATGCATGAGTTGCGTTTTGGGGCTTTTTGCTGTTTTGTTTGCTGCAGAGCAGCAGCGAAAGTTTGAGGCGTTGAAGAGATTTAACCCAAATGCACAGCATGCAGGCGCAGCAGCAGCAGAAGTAAAACCAAATCCGCACACCCCCCTGCATGCATGCATGCAGAGAAGAGCCTCTGCATGCATGCATGCATGCATGCATGCATGCAGCCCCACCGAGTGCTCTGTTTACTGGGTGTTTGCCGGCAGCTGTAGAGACATGCATATTGTGCATGCATGCATGCATGCATGCATGCATGCTGGTTTGGGGCTGTATGCGTGCAGATTGAGGCCCTTCGTTCTATCATTTGGAAGCAGCAGCTGGAGCTGCAGCAGCTGCACATTAGTAGCGCAGCAGCAGCAGCAGCAGCAGCAGATGAGGACTTCTTCTCGAAGCTGCAGCTGCAGCAGCAAATCCGCGAGCAGCAGCAGCAGCAGCAACAGCAAAGCCGCGAGAACCAGCAGCAGCAGCAGCTGCTGCTGCTGCAGCAGCAGCAGCAGCAGCAGCAAAATGGAGACAGAAGAGACACGGGGACAGCTGAGGGCCTCAAATTGGTGAAGGAATTCAAGTGAGATAAAAAAGCAGACAAATAAAAATAAATAAATAAAAAGCAAATAAATAAAAATAAATAAATAAATATAAATAAATAAATATAAATAAATAAACAGGAGTTAGATAGGAAGATATTTAGATAAAAAGACTAGAGAGACAACCAGCGGCAATAACTGTCCGTGCGTCCTGTGCTGCTGCTGCTGCTGCTGCTGCTCTTGCCGCTGTTCTTGCTGCTGCTGCTGCTGCTCTTGCTGCTGTTCTTGCTGCTGCTGTTGCTGCTGCTGTGCTTGCTGCTGCTGGTTCTGCTGCTGTTGCTGTTGTTGCTGCTGCTGTTGCTGCTGCTGCTGCTGCTGCAGTGCATTTGAAGCAGCAGTGCTGGAGCACTCGTTTGCTGTCCCTCTTTGGATATCTTCGTCGTCTTATGAAGACAATCGGCAGCGCATGCGTCAGTATACTGCTAAACATCAAGAGCTGCTGCTGCATGCAAAGGCCCTGTCAAACAAAATGCAGAGACATATCGCTCAGCTGTACGGACTCCCCTTCCTGCTGCTGTTACTCCTGCTGCTGCTGCTGCTGTTACTATTGCTGCTGCTTTTGCTGCTGTTACTATTGCTGCTGCTTTTGCTGCTGTTACTGCTGTTGTTGTTGTTGCTGCTGCTGCTGTTGCTGCTGCTGTTCTTGCTGGTGCTGCTGCTGCTGTAACTGTGGCTGCTGTTACTGTTCCTGCTGTTGTTGCTGCTGCTGTTGCTGTTGCTGTTGCTGCTGTTACTGTTGCTGCTGTTGCTGTTGCTGCTGGTGTTGCCGTTGCTGCTTTTTCTGTTGCAGCTGCTGCCAGTTGTGCTACTAATTGCCCTGCTGCTGTTGCTGTTGCTGTTGCTGATTGTGTTGGTGCTGCTGTTGATGCTACTGCTCCTGCTGCTTCTGCTGCTGCTGCTGCTGCTGCAGCACTCCGGAGGGCCCCTCTGGCTTTGGCGAGACCCCCAGCCCTGGGGCTTCGAATTTCTTGCGTTGTTTCAGCAGCCTTAAGGATATTGCTTTTGTAGAACAGCTGCCGCAGCAGCAGCAGCAAGAGCAGCAGCAAGAGCAGCAGCTGCAGCAGCAGCAACCAGCTATGCGTATCCGCCTCCAGGGCCTGCCGCCTTGGCTCAGCTCTTCTCCTGCTGCTGCAGCAGATGCAGCAGGAACTGCTGCTGCAGCACAAGCAGCAGGTGCAGGTGCAGCAAAAGATGCAGATACAGCAGCAGCAGCAACATGCAGCGCAGCAGCTACAGCAGCAGAAAACGTCACAATGAAACTCATAGTTAGGGAGGATCAGTTAGCGCTGCTTTATAAACGCATTGCTGGCATGTAGAGGGGCCCCTCTGCTGCAGCAGCAGCAGCAGCAGCAACAGCAGCAACAGCAGCAGCAGCAACAGCAGCAGCAGCAACAGCAGTAAGCTTGCTGCAGCATTTCGTCCCTGTGTCTGTGGCTGCTTGCTGCACCGCTGCTTCTCTGTCTCCGATGCTGTTCTGCTGCTGCTGCTGCTGCTGCTAAGAAGACCGGCAGGGGCTTCTGTGTGCAGCAGAGCCTAAACCCTAAACCCTAAATATTATTATTTTACTATTATATTCCTATCTCTCTAATACTAGTATTATATTACTGTCTCTCTATTTTAATTTGTTATAAGCACAGTAGCTGCTACTATACAATGAAGTGAAACGTGAAGGAGACAGACAGACAAACTGCTGGTGTTGCTGCTGCTGCTGCTGCAGCAGCAGCTGACGCACAGTCGCTGCTGCAGCAGCAGCAACAGCAGCAGCAGCAACAGCAGCAAACGCGTCTCAAACAAATTATATTGATAGGGGCTTCTGCACTTCCCTCTGTTGCTGCTGCAGCATCAGTGGCTGTCCCTTGCGCAGCAAACTAAAACCCTAAACCCTAGACACCCCAAACCCTAAACCCTCACTGGGCGAGGGTTTAGGGTTTAGGGTTTAGGAGCGGCGGATACGTCTCGCTAGATGGAGATCTTTGAGCATTATTTTAACTCTCTGTGCATGCAAGAGCAGATAAAACCCCAAACCCTAAACCCCCCCTGGGCGAGGGTTTAGGGTTTAGGGTTTAGGGTTTAGGAGCGACGGATGCGTCTTGCTAGATGGAGGTCTTTCGGCATCAGTGTAACTCTCTTTGCATGCAATGCACATAAATTTGAGTCTTCTAACAAACCCGTTAAGAAAGCCTCAGCAGCAGACTGAAGTGCTTCAAGCGCTGTTGCTGTAAACCTGCAGCAGCAGCAGCAACAGCAGCAGCAGCAGCAGCAGCGGGGGAGGGGGCAGTGAGGCGCTGCAGCGCGTTTGTTTTGCTGCTTTTGCTGCTTCTTATTCATATTCTTATTGGGGAAACCCTAAACCCTAAACCCTTAGATGCACATTGAACCCTAAACCCTAAACCCTCAGCTGCACTCTAGACCCTAAACCCTAAACCCTCAGATGCACTCCAAACCCTAAACCCTCACCTGTACATCAGACCCTAAACCCTTATCTGTGCATTAAACCCTAAACCCTAAACCCTAAACGCTCACCTCTACATCAGACCCTAAACCCTTATCTATACATTAAACCCTAAACCCTAAACCCTAAACCCTTACCTGTACATCCCTGCATACGGCGGTGTAAATTTTTGAGCGACTTCGCGGACGAGACGAAAGAAAGGCGAGCGAGGGATAAGGAGCTCAGTGGTGTTCTGCAGCCAGCAAACCCTAAACCCTAAACCCTAAACCCTAAACCCTAAACCCTAAACCCTAAAGCCTCACTGCAAAACCCTGACTCTTCTCTCCAGCTATTTATTTGAAAAGAGTAGCTGCTAGCAAACCCTCAAACCCTAAACCCTAAACCCTCATATTGCTCTTTACCCCAAAAGGTGCCTCTCTAACCATCAGATACAAACCCTAAACCCTAAACCCTAAACCCTAAACCCTCACTCTGTACTTGCGAATCTCCTTCAGCGCTTTAACCCCAGGGTGAGCCCTGGGGCGCCCTGCGGCTGTC